AAAATACCCCTACAAAGTTTCAGGGTATTTTGATCAATTTATTTTATGTGAATTATTTTTTAAATATTTTTATTAAGTGTGCATTGATGAGAAGAGTTGATGCTCCAAATTTCATATTATTTTGATTTATATAAAAAATATTAAAATTATATTATCGAAATACAATCCTAACCATCAATGTGTGTGTGTTAAACAAGGGGAGCAACTAGATTACTACAACAACCATCCCTATACAAATCCTACAACATGATGTTAATGTACTTTTAGAATAATAGTTTGTATCATACACCAAAAGTCCCACAGAGAGGCTAATTATATATAACTAACATGCCCTCAAGACCAATATAAATTTTTCAACATAGATAGCAAAAGGAAAGTGTATATTGTCTACAGATTTTTATAGAAGGTCTATATTGTAATTGATATATATATAAGAAGGGTGGGTGCAATATCCTGTATTTTATGGTAAATATGGGCATGGTATAGGTGTGTGTGATTTATTGTTATTCTTATCAGATATTTGTTGTCATATATAAGATAAGTTTGTATGTTCATCTGATTAATAGACACAAAAAGTTCTCTTCAAAGAAACCTAAGATGCTAACATCGTATCATAGCTCTGCTAATAAGATTTGGCACTTTGTAATTCGTTTTCTGATGGGCTGCTAAAGTTCCTCTCCTCTTAATCGTCAACTTTTGAATGCATAACCTGCCAATCTCAACTTTTTTTATGTATCTGGCAAAGATCTAATTGTTTGTCCATTCCTTAGGTCTGTTGATCTATTGTTGTTTGAGTTTGTTGTGTTTTGCGTTCTTTTTCTAAGCCTCGCTGATCTGCCGCTATTCGAGTCTGCTTTGTCCATGTCTTTTGTTTCTGAGACTTGCTGATCTGCCATTGCTCGAATATGCTATGTTCTTGCATGGTTTTTCAAAGGCTTGTTGAGCGGTTGTTGTTCGAGCCTACCATGTTATATTGTTCATATATGCTTATTGATCGAGCAATCTGAACATGCAACACTACTTCTATTTGTCCGCGCTGTACACCTAAAGATCTAATTGCTTGTTTTTGCAACTTATTGTCCAAACTCCAACTGCTTGTTTTCGCAACTTATTGTCCAAACTCCAAGTGCTCTCTCTCAAAGCATCTTGAGTTTGCGGGGGAGTGTAAAATGAAAATATATATGGTCTCCATGGGTTTTATGGGAAGGTGTACATTGTAATTGATATGTATAGGAAGGGTAGGTGCAATATCCAGTATTTTATAGCAAGTGTGGGTATAATATAGGTGTCGGTGATTTATTTCTATTGCTATCATATGTTGTTGTCTATATAATACGAGTTTATATATTAATCTTATTAATGGACACAAAAAGTTCTCTTCATCTTATTAATGGACACAAAGTTCTCTTCAGATAAACCTAAGGCTCTAACATAGATAAACCTAATAACATAATGTTGATCATGCCAAATTTTTTGACATCATGTAAAAATCATGACATACTTTTATTAAAGGGAAAAACAAAAACACCAATGATTCTCCCAATCTTTAGTGCTTTTTTGACAATTTTCCCTTGAAAATATATTTTTAGCGTCCAAACAACAAGATTTGATGGTCTTGTGCACTTGTTGGGCGAGAATTCCTTTTTTTTTTCTTTTTCTTTTTTTTCTTTTTTTTAAGTTCCAAGGGGTTGTTGAAACTTTTTTGTTTTTTTTTCGCTTTGCTGGTCACTCCCCAAAATTGATAGCTTAAAAGTACTCCTGCCTAGAGTTCTGCTTGGAGGAGAAAATGTATATCTTGCCCCCATAGCAGCATAACAATCTTTTCACTTCATGAAAACATAAAGTGCCACTGCCATATCTCTATGCCAAACCAGTGGTTTTCTTAGAAGTTTTGTTTTTTATGAGTCATAAGATGAACTTTGGATCAAAACTTTTATAGATTGATAACCTCGACTGCGAGGATCATGATATGAAAAATTAAATACATTTTGAAATTTAAATGTGGGAATATATTAATTCTGATAGCGAAGACCTTACATACTACAATCACGTAAAGAAGTGCCGCCCTTCGGCTCGGCAATATGGAAACTTAACTCAACTCCCGTTCCTTTACAGGGTCCTATCAGGATAGGTAGGCCCAAGATTTCCCCTCCCCCTGACCGAACACACGTAGTTCCCTACGGCTGACAAATAAGAGTTTAGGCCGTAAAAGAAAAGCACCGACCCGCACCCCAGCTGCCCCGACTGGGATTTTGCTCCTTATCTAGGTGCGCACTAAGTCAGCACTGGCTTTTTACATTATTACTTTTAAGCTTTACTTGGGTCCCTCGTATGTTGTCTATGTTAAAGATGAATGTTTGATGCTCACATGATGCAACAACTACTTTTCCTTTTCTTAAAAACCACCAGACTTTGGACAGAGGGGCAAAATTCAGAAACCTCCCTCCTACAAATTATTGCTCAAAATTATACATCGTTTGATGGAATTTTCAAAATTATATATAGAAAATTTTAAATTAAACTAAAAAAATCTGGACATTAAATAATTTATTCATTGGGTACTTTTATGTATCTCTAAATTTTCAATTTGAAATTTATGTATCTCTAAATTTCAAATATGTATCTCTAAATTTCAAATTGAAATTTTAAAGAAAATGAAGCATTAGGAGTCATAGATATTCCTGGGGTGTTTTGGCATGGAATGCATGGCTTTATATCCAGCGGAAGTTTCGACTTTCTAAAGGTCGTATCTTATAGGGTGAGTCTTGTATAGGCTTGCAACCTTAAACAATTCACATAAGGCACAACTCAAAATTTGTTATAAGATGAAATTTTGGCCTCGAATAATTTTTAGAACGGCATGAGAATCTATGTTCATTTCTAATTATAAATTTTGAATTCCCAAAAATGGTTCAAATCAAGTAGATCTATAAATGGGATAACTATGATTGAAGCTTGCCAGATCCTGGTCGGACTTGCCCATATCAAACTAGGTGACATCGGGATCGAGACCCTAGTGGGGCCCCACCCAAGTCCACCTTTATAATCATTGAAACCAAAGGGCCAAACGACACACAAAAACTAGATCTCCATTAATGGAAGCATCAAACACTTCATATCCTTTGGAAAAGAGTGTATTTTTCTTGTCTACATAAGTTGTACTTGTAACCAAGAAGTGAAATGATACGACTTTTTTCCATGTTTGGTTCCTATTAAAATATTATCTAGAAAGTATTTTCATATGGAAAAATTCTTTCATGTGGCTAAGTATGGGAATATTTTCATACCAATTGGTTTTAGTGCATCTTTTCATACTAATTGATAACTAATTGATGTAAAAATATTCCCATACTTAACCACATGAGAGAATTTTTTCACGTGAGAATATTTTCTGAAAAATATTTTCACATGACCCAAACGTGCCTAGATTAAGAGCAACTTGGAGGAAAGGAAAACTAGAAATCATTGACTGATGCAAATTTCTAGCAAATTTTATCACCCCACTACAAGGTTGAAGCTTCCTTTTTTTTATAGGCCAAGGACCATTAGGCCAGGTCCCATATGGCAATATTTTGAGGTACTTTGAAAGATGGTGTCCATAGATCCCTCTTAGAAGCTCTGGTTCATGAAGCAAGTTCTCTTTTTGTGTCAAAGGAACCTATTGACACTGAAAGAAGGAGGGATAATGACTGAAGAGGAGACTTTGCACCTCTTTCCTGCTCTTGGAGATTCACAAAAGCTTTTATTCACCTCTTCACTCTCCCCCATATTCACTAAGTTCTTCTCCCCAAACTCCTGACTGAGATCACAATCAACTGAGCTTTCACTCATGTAACCAAAGAAGTCATGCATATCAAACTTCTCATAGTCCCCGGTTCCACTGGATGAGCCCAAGCTCACCCCCATAGAATCAAGTTCAAGCTTGGGATCAGGCTCAAGCACAAGGCTATGGTCATGCTCAACATCCATAAATGAGCTTGTTGGGTCCTTAAAACAGCTAGAGTTGGGGTCTAGAGAGAGGGGCTCGGGTGCGACTCGATGAGGGACAACATAACTAGGCTCGACTACTTTCTCAATGTTACTCCTCCAGAGACTCCCCTCATGATTGCCTGAACCTTGGTTTAACCCCTTAAGCTGAAAAAGGCTAGCAAAAGTTACATGATCACTCACCCTGGTCTTTGGTGACTTGGAACTCGCCGTTCTCGCGATGAGGTTTTGCAAATTCTTGCTCAACTTTGCCTTGAGTGAATTCAGACTCAAGCTACTGCATAGTGAACCGGGCCACGAAGAAGAAAATTCATTATTGACTGAGAAGCTATCATGGATGGCACTAGAATTGGGGTTGGGTGGTGATGAAACTGTGAAGTTGGTTCGCGCGTTTTCGCCTCTCAGTGCCCGAGCTGCCTCATCATAGGCCCTTGCGGCTTCCTCAGCTGTATCAAATGTACCGAGCCATAGCCTGATGCGTTGCGAAGAGTCCTTGATCTCGGCCACCCATCTTCCCGATGGCCTTTGCCTAACCCCGATAAATCTACGCATCGAAGGCCTGTTTGTCCTGGTGGTGGTGCTGTTCTGCTCAGTGGTCTGTGATTTAGCCATTAATGGAACACAAACAAGGAGAAACTTTCTGAATTTGAACTGATCAATTGAATATGGGCATCACAATTGAACTGATCAATTGAATATGGGTATCACAATTTTATAGGGAACGTTTTCCTGTAGTAGTGAAAACGAGTGCCAATGATTGTTTAGGTTGCATAGATACAGAATAATATGCTCATATTATACGTGTACATATAAAATATTCTCTAGGTGCCAAAAATGGAAATGTAGTACATGAACAGTACAATGCCAAAAACTACCCTTTGATGAGTGATTTTCTCCCATTCTCTTGAAATGTTATAAAAAAAATTAAAAAATAAAAAATAAAAACTCTTCCCATAAGTATAAAGTAATTTAAGTGAGATTTAGGTAAAAAAATTCACTAAATTTATGTGGTTGATCCAACAGCAACACTCTGGAGTCTTGGCCAAGGTTAATGAAAAAAAGGATTAAGATTATTGGGAAATCATTATGTTTTGCATAAGCAATGGACAAATCTCACTGTAGTTTTAGGGAAATATTTTGTAAAGCTATGGCTGTGTATACATCCGCAACTCATTCTTGGCATAAAATGTCGGGCGTTGCTCCGTTATATGGTATTCATTGGGATTCAATTCAGGATTTTCCTTGGGAGATATCGGGAAGGAATTGCAATGCAATAATATCAATTCATACAAAAGAAAAAGTTATATTTTGATTCAAACGCTATACCTATGGGATAGGGATAGAGGAATAGTAAAAAACTGAAGATATCAGACACCACACTCACTATAGTACTTTTGTTTTGATCGAAAAATAAATATGCTTTTCACCGCTTAAGACTCTATTGTTCGAAAAGGGAAACCCCACATATCAATTAATCATTCCTACCTAGACGATCGTTGATGAAAAAAACGGATTTCAAGCCTTAAAATGGTTTATCTCGTGATACTCTTTTTGGACCATCTATTTCAAGTCTTTATGAAACCGTTAGATCTACAACATTTTTGGACCTTCAAATTTCACAATCAGGAGTAAAACAAGATTTGCATCACAAGTTCTTCCAGTGCGAGATCTGGTTCTCGTGGCAGCGTTTCGAGATGTGGCCTTACGGTCAAAATTTCACCAATAGTTTTATATTTTCTGCTACCACTCTGGATCAATTTGTGGGAGAGGGAGGGTAAAAACTAAGAAGTTGGGGCCAAAGAGAGGAATAATAATAGAATTTCAAAATGTTCAAATCAGTCATGATGCTGATCAAGTGAAGGAATGAAATTCCATTTGAGAAGAAGACAATAAATCAATTTGAGAAGGTGGTGATCACAAGTGGACAATTAACACGCCGCTCGAACTTGGCACTTTGTACATCAAGTATAGTTTTATAATAAGAAAGGAACAATTAGAAGGGCTGGTAATCTAGCCAACACATTATTGCCAACAAGATAAATATGCACCCGCGGGAGCACATGGTCAATTCACTCCCTCATGAAACCCTAAATAGGAGTTTTCTTAGCTCATCAAAATCAAAATTTGGTATTCATCATAACCACCGATCTCAACAAAAACATAAAGAAAAAAAGAAGAAAGGACAACAACAATAAACAAATTAAGAAAGGAAAATGGTTTGATAGAGAGGGCAGCGATACCAAACTAAGTAAACCCTCACCTTATAACTCGTCCAAAACTGCAATTCAAGTGTTGAAAAAACTTTAAATCGATCATCTCAGCTTGAAAATTATGGTTGTGTAAAAAAAGTAGGGTTTCAAATTCTAAAAATAGTGTATATTACAACAAATCATCTAGACCATCCATTTCGCCTTTAAAATAAGTGTTTACATATCCACAAAATCTATTCCATTAATTATCAATGATTGAAATTAATTTTAGAACCATCATAAAAATTTTCGATGCCGAAAGTACTTTCCAGATGAAAATTTGAGGTGAGGCTTTTTTTGTTTTCATAAAGCTTAGGCCCTATAGAAATTTCATCCATCAAGCAAAGAGAGAGAGGAACCTAACGGTGCCTTGCAAAGTACCATTTTGAGAGAATAATGACTGTCCAATTAAATCTGAGTGTTTAATGACTTAAAAATCTAATTTATATTATGAAATTACTTATATGTTGGATGGCATATCTAAAGTAGACCTTAAAATTTTAGATTGAGTAAACCCTCCTAAACTGCTCTTCTGAAGACCAAGTGTACAATATGCTCCTACTACGGTGCAGCATTATGCTCAGCACTGTTTTAGAGAACGCCAAAGTACACAAAACATCAATTTAGTGGAATTATTAAATTTTCTGGGTCTATTTACTAAAAATGTTGCCAAGGATGACCCTAAAATAATATATATATATATATATATATATATATATATATATATATATATATATTATATAATAATAAGTATAGTAGTGGTCGAGTACCTACGTCGTGTTAGTTAGTTAAGTAGGTACGTACGGTCTCT